TTACCTCTCCCGCAATGATGCCATACAATAGAACAATAATCTAAATGAGGTAAAAAATAGGCATTATATAATTTGACTTTGGCATCAGTATTAATTAGTTTCTTATGTCTTTGTAAGACTTGAATTTGCTTGCCAACCTTCCGTGCTATCTCTGTAATGTGTTTGCTGAATTTTAAATCTCTATCGATAGTCACACCTAGTAACTTGACATCATCTGCAAGACTGACCACCTCACTACCAATRGAAAAACAAGGTGTGTTTATGCCCTTGCTCTTGCCTAGCCACATGGTAGTACATTTATCAGGATTCATCATGAGGCCGTTGGAGCAGAACCACGAATGAGCAGTGAGAAGATCAGACTGATCAGACTGCAGACATAACATGGTTGCATACTGTAGTTGCATTTCTGTAAGGTCTTTTCATTTCCATTTCTTGTACAATAAATATCTACAGAAAATCAAGTTCTTTGAATGGTTAGTTTTTCCTTTGATTCTTTAAAGTTAATGTAATAAAGAACTAGTTTTACTTGCACAACTGTTTGTTTTGAAAACCGTCTGTAAAATTTCGTGAATTTGCATGGCTGGCTATATCTTCGCCTGTTTTCAATATATATATCGCTCTCGAACTTGGTAAATTTACTGATTTTGAGGTGATTCTTGCAGCATTATCGATGAAATTTTACTATGTTTAGTGTCTAAAGCAAGTCTAATGTATTAACTAGCAGGATGTTTCTTGTACTTCAGTCATTTGATGATCCACCATTCCCGCCTTCTTTAGTCTAGACTTAAATCTGTTCTATCAGAATTTTTTCTGATGAGTAGTTCCTGAAAAGCTTATTTATTTAATTCTTCAATTCTCGAGTCAACAGACTCAATAAAACACGACAGTATTCCGAAATAAAGGTGTACGATATAATAACAATAAATTTGCTGTAGTGACTAGAATTTCTCACCCATAGTTGCAGTCATGCAAGATGCCCCAGCCAGGACAAAGCGAGAATACGTCTCTGAATTAACACTGTTAACCATCTCCTTTTGCATCAGTTGAAGAGTAATCCTCGAAGCTTCATTATTACTACTTCCTGGATCCATAGATCGGTCATTAGCGGTTGGAAATGGCTTTTATGATGTCGTACACTAACAAGGCCTAACAGCCTTGATGTCCCCGGGGTGATGACCCACTGCTTCACACTTTACTAGACCAGGCCTCTAGTTCGATCTAAAAGGCTACTAAACACCTTATTTTGATTCAGCCTTTAGTTCAACTGCTATATATTTTGAGAATCAAAGCATTTTACAGGCTCCAGCACGTGTTTGAAACTATTTGAATTGGGCTTCCTGTGTTTAACAACAGGAAGCCCACGCAAAGCGTCCGACCCAGGCTCACCCGGTTAAGGTATTCCAAAGATTTTCGAAGATTGGAAAAAGATGGGACACAAGTTGCTAGGACACTGACAAGTGCAATGAGAAATTTCCTTTGGATTAACTATAAATATCCTACGACATAGTGAAATGAAGACACATGGAAGGGTTGAATATTCCCTAACCATGAATATCCTGAAAGCAAAGAAGGAAATGTAAAAAAGAAAAAAATAACGGAGGCACTGCAAACCGGTAAATTGTTCGTTTGCACCTTACTACATCACGGCCACTTAGGGGACCGTTGGTGCCATATAACAAAAGAGTTCTCAATAGCATCCATTGTTAACTTCACCAAAATGGCCGCCATGTTTTTGTATTTTGATTCTCTTGGGAATGCTTGCAATCCATCAATGATTGGTTTATCATATTGCACAAAATAAACCCGCGAAAATTACGACAAAAATTGCAAAAAATAATGCTACTATTTGTTACATCTTGCTGGTTATTTATTTTAGAATCCATATATTTAGTACTAAATTGATAGGAACATTTTCATGTGTTTATTGTGTTGACAGCACTTTATTAACAAATATGCTACGTATACATTATTCGTTTGAAAAAAGTACCTTCCACTCTCCTCTTCTAGGTATTCAGACATAGCACATCTCAAAGTTTGTATAAAACTGTCAGCCCCAAACAGTTTGAATGTCTGAGTGCTGCATGCAAGACAACTGCCGAGTAACAAAAATGAATGCAGGTTAAAGATGTTTGGAAGAAAGAGAAGCCAGGCTGTAACAGGGGAAGAGAGTAGAGTTAGGTAAGGACTAATGAGGTAATCCTCTCCTTCTAGGCCTAGTTACAGGGGTGAGAGAACACTTTCTTAAATGGTCAAAATAATATTTCATTCAAAAGTGGGCAGGCCAAAGGCCCACCAGCTCCTCCATCTCTGCCATTCCTGATCTGTTGAACTGTGGTTCAAGAAGACTTATAAGAAAATACATATATATATAAATTATCATTTTTAATTATTCATATATTAATTTTTCTATCTTTTTTTCCTGAAAATTATTCATTTATGTTCTCAAGCTATTATATTCTGATTCTTTTTATATATTTGTATTATTGTGATACCATATCATATTTGGTATCTATCTCTTTTAAGGAGTACTTTGCATATATGATTTTATTATTATTGGGATTCCTGTGTTGCAAGAAACAGGTAGCCCGCATCGATTCACCCGTCCCGTACGTTGTGAGTCAGTGCTTACTGAAAGTTGTAAAGTCCTTGTAACCAGATGTTACTGACCTTTGTAAAAAGCGATAAAGCTAGCGCCCAACCTCTTCTGGGTTTGCCGAATGGAACGCCTGTTGACCCCTGCAAATACTGTATTCCTTACCTTTTTACACA